TAATGTCTGATAAACTGGGTGTGGTGGTTTTCAAATATGTCTACTTCAATAGGCTTCCTTCTAAAAAATTTAAAAATAGAAAAAGGTACCATGTAATTGCCCTCCTCTTGAGTGGGAGTTGGGCTGAGTGACTCATCTAACAGACAGAATATGACAAATGTAACAATGTGTGGCAAGGTCATAAAAAACATCACACTTCCCCTTGTTATCTCTCTTTAATTTCCTGTCCTGGTGAAGTTAGCCTCAAAATCTTAGAAACTCTATGGAGAGGCCCATGTGACAACGAATTGGGGCCTCCTGCCAATGGCCATTTAAGTGCCATCTTGAAAGCACAGCCTCCAACCCCAGTCAAGCCTTCAGATGACTGAGCCTCACCAACCCCATGAGAAACCCTGGGTTAGAACTACCCATTCTGTTTATCAACAAACACTGAGTAAATTCTACCTATACACTAGACACTGTTCTAGATTCAAGGAACATAACAATAACAGCAAAATAAAGCACCTGCTTTTGTAGCAACAGCATCCTAATAAACTAACAAACATATAAAAACAAATGGGATCGGGAACCAGCAGTTAGCGTAATGGCTATGTCACTGGACTCCCACGTAGTCGACCGCGGTTCGCGTCCCAGACCTGGTGGCTTAAAATTCACGCCGGGCGCGTGTGTGTGCGTGCCCAAGGTCCTGAGAGGAGAATGGAGGAGAAGGGATTGCGGCGTGACCATCCCCCCTGGAGGGTGATTTCTCGCTTTCTGTCTCTATGTCTCTCTCTGTCTGTCTGGCGAGCGCACACGCCCTATAGAGAAAACCTCTCCAAAAAAAAAAAAAAATGGGATCCTTTCAGAAAAATGATGGTATTGTTTAAAAAAAAAGGAAAGAAAGAAAAAATACAGTTGAGGGACCAACAGATGGTGTAGTGGTGATGTTGCTGGACTCCCACATAGCCGACCTCCATTCAAGTCTGGACCTGGTGGCTTCAAACTAACACCAGGTAAGTGTACATGCATGCCCAAGATTCCTGGAGGAGAAGGGATTGTGGCATGGCCATCCCCCCCGGTGGGTGATTTCCCACCTTCCCTTCCACTGTCTTTGTCTCTTTCTCTCTCTCCCCAGTAAATTCACACACCCTAAGGCAAAAACCTCTTAAAGAAAAAAAAAAAAAAAGAAAAAGACTGGGGCTACTATCAATAGATTGTATGATATATATTTTTAATTTTATTAGAAGCTGCCAAAGAGTTTTTCGAAGTGACTGTACAATTTTGTATTCCCACCAGCGATGTATGAGAGGTCTACTTACTCTACATCCTCATATTGGTAGGTTGTTAGGGCTTTTTGCCATCCTAGTCAGTGTGTAGTTGCATCACATAGGACCTGTACTGTTAATTTGCATTTCCCTAGTGATTAATAATGTTAAGCATGGGGGCCAGCAGGTGGCGTGGTAGTTAAGGTGCTAGACTCCCTTATGGCTGATCACGGTTTGAGTCCCAGACCTGGTGACTTGCTTACATGCTTGTGTGCTGCGTGCTTTTCTATTTTTTGCTTTTTAAAACAATAATAATAATTTTTTAGTTGTTTTTAATTTTTTTCCTTCTTTTTTCTGTTTCTTTGTTTTTGTTGTTGTTGTTGCTTTTTTTTCTCTCTCTGTTTCCTTCTCTTTTTCTTTTATCTCATCTCTCTGCTCCTCAATCTCTATTCACTGTGTTTCTAGACGGATCTAAGGAAACTACAGCCAAACATCCAAATACTATTAGGGTTAACATATTCCTCAATATCTACTCAATCTGCCGCACAAAGGGATCAAACAGAACAGCAAAGAGATTCGAGATCATCTCTTTCTGCACACTCCTGAATGCTCAGATTGAACTTCAAATTTAAGAAGAAACACACCATCCATCAGATGACTAGAAATCATCGCAGGCCACAAGAAATATGGGAAAGCAAGAAAATATTTTTTCTCCAAGGAAAAAGAATAACTCCTCTTCATCCACAGACAGTTCAATGGAAATCATGGAAATGTATAAAGAATTTAGAATATTTGGAATGGCGAAGCTAACAGAGATGGAAGAGAAGAAAGACAATGAACTGCAAAAGAGAAAGGAGAAAGGAGATGAGGAGTTTCAGGAGATGAGGAAATTCTTGCAAGATCTAAAAGAGGAATTACACACTTTAAAAAAGAATCAAAGGAACCAGTGAGAGATAAAGGCTTTAATACAGGAAGTCAAAATCTCCCTTGAAAGTATTAAAAGCAGACTAGATCATACAGAAAATAGAATCTCAGATGTAGAAGGGAAAATTGCTGGCCTAGAAAAATCCACCACGAAGACTGAGAAAATTGCCCACCGCCAAATGAGAATAATATACTAGATACCATCAACATCCAAACATCCAGATAATTGGTATCCCAGGAAGTGAAGAGACTCATAAGGGCATTGATAATCTATTCCATGAAATCCTACAAGAAAACTTTCCAAACCTAGAGAGGCACTCAAAAATCCAGTCCCAAAAAATACAAAGGACCCCAAATAGAATCAACCCAAGAAGATCTTCTCCAAGACACATTATAGCCAGATTGACCAAAATCACAGAGAAAGACAAGATACTAAGATTGGCAAGAGAGAAACAGCAAGTTACCTACAAAGGGTATCCCATCAGGCTAACAACAGACTTCTCATCAGAAACAATGTGAGCGATGGGACCAGCAGTTAGCGTAATGGCTATGTCGCTGGACTCCCACGTAGTCGACTGCGGTTTGAGTCCTGGACCCAGTGGCTTAAACTCATGCAGGGCGTGTGTGCGTGCATGTGAAATAATAATAGTAATAATAATAATAAATAAAATAATTTTTTTAAAAAAATCTACATGGGAAGGCCAGCAGAAGCCTCTCCAAAAGGTGACATCTGAACTGTGATTTGAAGATGTATAAGATCCAAGAGCATTCTGAGAGAGCAAAGGAAAAATCCCTGAGGCAGGAAAGTAGTTTGCACTGTGGTGAGCAAGGAGTTAGTGCTATGCAAGAAAGTGTTAGGGAGACCAGAGCATGCACGGGCTCATAAGTCAACAGGAGGGATAGCTCTTACTCCAGTAGAAGTAGTAAGACAATGGGGGTTCAAGCAGGGATGTGGCTTAATACATGCACATCTTTGAAAGGTCACACTCCGCTTGCTGGTGGAAGAGTGTCATAGAGGGGTTAAGAATGGAAGCCCTGAGATCAGCTAGCCTCAGTGGCTCATTCTGGCAAGGACCACAGTTGACCTAGGGTACTAGTAGGAAAGACAAAGAAAAGAGAAAGAGATGAGCTAAGTTTTGAATGTAAAAGAGATATGACAGCTCAGGGAATGAACTTTGGGGGTGAAAGAAGGGAGAAATCAATGAGGGCTTTGGTTTGGAGCTTGAGCAACTAGGGAGAAAGAGAAGATAGTGACTGAGATGTTGAAGATTCAGGTAGATGCAGACTGAAGTTCTACCTGTGACTCAGGCTTGGCTGGTTACAGCACCATGGTCAGTGAAGCCAGACTCAGGGGCAAAACATCCCCATGGACCAAACAAGGTTGCCGTATTGTATAATGCTTTATAATTTGTAAAAAGTGCTTTAACATATATTAATTTTGTGAAACCCACAACAATTCTATGAATTGATCTGGTGAATATTTCTAACTCCATTTTACAGATGAGGAAAACTGAAGTTTAGAGACGTTACATGGCTTATGTAATATCACCAGCTAGAAAGAAACCACATAGGGCTTCTTAAAAGAGAAATTAAAGCCATTTTGGACAGGACAATTATTTACGCTGAATAGTTTCCTGCATGTTCAGCTTTCTTTGATCCTGTCCACTGAATCCCAGTGAAGACCCCTTTCTTCCATCCACCTACCTAGTCATTATTACAATGTTACCATTTCATACTCATTAGGAGGGAAATACCCACGTCTTATACACACACATACACAGACCCCTACAAAAAAAAAATTTATAATCCCTTATCCATCTATCCCCTCCCTGAATTCATGTTAATGGAGTGTTCCCTTTCTGCTAGCTCTTGATAGGTACTAAAGGTACAAGAAAGATCAAGCCTAGTGCCTAATCTTGAAGACTTCTCATTCAGGTAAGGAGCTTGTGATCTCTGAAATATCTAGAAAAAAAGAAAAAATTAGGAAGATTTTCCAGCCTGGTCTCATGTAGACCTCCAATATGTAACATGAATTGCTTTTTGTTGATGATAAACAAATTATCAGGAGTCTGAATACATAAACACACCATACAGAAAAGGATTCTGGAACCTCGGGCAAAATATTATAATATTTTCATGGGCTGCCCAAATTCCAAGCATTAGATTTGATGAACAGCTTTATTGAATTTTGTGGATAAATATTTAAAGCCTTCAAGGGCTTGTGTAAATCTCACCTAGGCAGACGCTCTTGCTTACAGCGCCATCTGCTGGTAGCTCCTGGTGTTGTGACGGGAAATTAACAGGTATGGGGGACTCCACCAAGAACTCAAAGACAGATCCAAAAAGAACAGGCCACCCACAGCTGCCCCCAGATTCCAGACCCTGTGCAGCCTAACTCCAAGACACCAATGATCAGGAGCTTCAGGGTGTCTGATAACAAAAATTTTCCAAAGAGCATACGATGAGGAAAGCAGAAGGAAAGAGGATATACAGGAAATATAAGAATTTCTTGTTTTCAGGAGAATTTTGGAAACATAGTGCCCTCCAGAGGTCATTCAGCCATTCC